TTCCACAAGGTTCGTCAGGACTGTATTTTGATACACAACTGCATTCGTTTTTACACCTTTCTCACAAAAATGTACCTCTGTTAAGCCCCAATAAGAAACTCCCAACCATACCATGAGCGAGGATGGAAAATGACCTCGTTGGACACGCGGAATACGGTTGCTCGCTTCTTCACTACTGTGTGCGTACACCTTATCATTTTGTTTGTTGTAGCTCTCTTCTACGGTAAAAATTTTTTCATCCGAAAAAAGAATTTCCCGATATTTTTTTCCCGCGTACCGCTTCAACAAAGCGCGGCATCTCTTCAGTCTCAGGTCCATTAGACGAGCATTCAAACGATGTCCTGTTTTTCTTCGATATGCCCGAAGCCCTAAGTCTTCATTTAACACCCTTTTCACCGTGGTTCTGCTTAACCCCATCTGAAGGGCCAACAGTTTCTGCTTACGTTTGGGATTTCTTTGAATTCGCGCCTTCACAGCTTTTATCACTGCTGGAGTCCTAACAGACCGAGGGCGACCACTTCTTAACCTGTCATCTACACTAGAGTCTTCATTGTATCGTTTGATGGTACGATAAACGAATCTTTTGGTTATATTCAAATTTTTCAGTATGTTAAAAATTTGGATTGGCGCGTAACCGCAACGATGCAACGCAATAACTGCAACACGGTCTTCTTTAAGCGTCCACTCCATATTTAAAAATGAGTAAAATTCTAAAAGTATACATTTTTATTTTCATGAACAATTTGAAATTCGAATTCAATAAACTTTTTTGTAGCCAGCATTCTAAAAGAAAAGTTTTTACTGTGTGACAATACTTATGACCTGACTAGGTATAGAATGTAGAAACTTTAGGTCTTGCAGAAACTCATTCAAGATAAAATATGGTTCAAAGAGATGATGAAATTAGAAATTAAATGGGAATACCATTACCATAGAAAATTTTAGGTTATTTGAAATGATTTGAAAAATCGCATACATACATGATGAAATAAGTACAATAAAATGATATCATTAAGTTCAAACCACAATATGGTTAGAAAGTTTCGCCAAAATTCAAGTAGCCGAGGATGCGACCTACATCGCAAAATGGCGTCACATACGAACACACATAGAGGTTAGGTACATCGCAGATACGATATTCAGTTTAATTGTAGAATCATTTGACCTACATTACCTTGTAATTTGATGAGGTATATTGTTCGTAATACTTTCATTTCGATACTCACTTTTTATTTAGTGTGACGTGATCGGAACTGTCGCCAAAAAACTAAAATGACTCGACGACGTAAGAGTTAAAGTATCCCGGTGTAGAGACTTGGATTTTCACAGTGAAATCTAAATAATTTGTGCTCTTAGATCGATCAGTAAATTTTGAACCAGAACGAACATTTGTGAACTGGCGGCTTATCAGCTTAAAAGCTGCCCGAAATCTGTCAGCTCAAGGACAGAGACATTGCAAGTTGTATGGTGTATGCAAGTATACCGGTACGTAAAAAAAAAACGACGGTAAGCAAGGAGAATTTATTACAAAATAACTCGGTCGAACAATAAACTCTTTATTACCCGAAATAAAGTGGTAATTATAATTAACGCGGTTCACTTAGTAATCTCTCTTGGACAACTTCACCGAACACGCAATGCACAGGCCTGATGCCGCGCGATTACTCTTTGGTCTTAGGCCTCGCACGTAATCTACATTAGCGCTCGGAGTTGTGTCAAAGTGACAACAACGTCAGCTGTCATCTGTCATCTGTCAATTGGCACTTCTCGAGCCGCTACCGCTTTTAAAAATACGAAACATCAGTATGATACTCATGAATGGGTTCAAGACCTAGATTATTATGAAGATCGTTACGAAGTAGTAGACCTTTGTGATTAACCCCAATGATTTGGAAACTGGCAGTCACATTAACTATAACGTTCAATCACAAACGTTTTGTAACACAATGATTACTTTGAGCTTAGAATCCCAAAAACAGATTGATGTCCCCTCGTCACATTACAGAATAATTTTCTTCTGAAATGCTCGAAAAATCTCAACATAAAAAGTGATGTTCAATTCAGCTTTCATTGTACGAGTGTATTATTTAAGAATCTTTGTAAAATGAATCATATCAACATTTTATAACAATGTTTACATAATATTTAGACTCTTGTAGAAATTCTGATTACAATGCAGGAATAACATTAAAAGAAATCCGATTTTGCTTAAATTAACATAATAACTGGTAGTAGGACACACTGTAGGTTCCTTGCCTATTTCTTAGCCCTGCGTTTTTCTACCTTCCTGACCTACTCGAATTGACTTATCTTATTCGGGCAATCGTTGCAAAACAAAATAGAAACTTCGACCCAGTCTCATAAGATGGAATTTACATTGGGATGTCTAACGTCAGGTGTACTGTGAGCTCGTCCGGCCGTCTTACTGGATTGGTCTTGTAAGCCCGCATGAGTAGGTACCAACAGCCTTCCTATATCTGCTATGAAGCAGTAATGCGTTTCAGTTTGAATGGTAGAGAAGCCGTTGTACTATAAAGGTAAGACTGAAAACTCATGTTTCAAGGTGGCGGCATTTTAGTTGTTGTTGTTATTTTTGTTAACACCGGGTGAACCATGGAAACTTCCATCCATGCAAACTATAAAAAAATAAGCGCTAAAGCACTCTCTATTAAAGTTACTTAAACTTTTTTTATTACAAATTAGTTACGACAAGCATTCCCTCTATCTTGAAACATCAAAAGAAACGCGCCGAAATATTTTAATGCCGTAAGTGTAACTTAGTTTTTGAGTGAAAAAAACTATTAGTTAAATACTCCATTGTTTGTGTGTGAATAATGTGGGAGCGCAGCGTCACGGTCGTGTCTTGAAACTCGGAGTTCAAGTTTAAGGAGGTCGCCTATCACGTCACATCTAACTTTGTTCGTATTTAGTCTGTGACTTTTTAGATTAATTGTGTACACGGTTGGCGAAATTGGACTTTACTGTATCTGTGCTCTTTACGTTGGTACGTTGGTTACGTTACGTTTGGCTTGAATTTGGGTTATTGTTCTTGGATAGGGTTGGTACTCATATATTTTTCTGGATTAGTATGACTTTTTTTGGAAACATTATCTAATTTAAAAATAAAGCTATTTTCAATGCGTTCAATTATCGCCGCAATGAATACTGGTTGATATTAGGTCTCAATAACGACTATTCCAGTCCACATGTCGGACGCATAAAGAGACGTAGGACGATGGTAGCTATCCCTAAGGTATCACCGGTCAGAATACACTCGACAGCCATCCATTAATCCATACAGAAATCCGAAAAGGAGGAGAATTAACACGTTAATTGCCATATAATTCACCGGTGTCCTGCGTGGCGCACTGATTTACTTAGGTCGCTTTCTCTCTTCGATCTTCTTACTAAGGAATATCTAGTAGATTATGGGAAAGACCGAATCCGAAGTAGCTGAGAATTAATCTATTCCTAAAACACCTAAAAGACAAATTATACATTAAAAAAACAAAAGAAGACAAAGTTAGGCAGTCCAGGCGCTTAGTAATAGAAATCGACATAAATTTTTTTTTATTGCTTCGATGGCTGGACGAACTCACAGCCCACCTGGTGTTAACTGGTTACTGGAGCCCATAGGCATCTACAACGTAAATGCGCCACCCACCTTGAGATATAAGTTCTAAGGTCTCAGTATAGTTACAACGGCTGCCCTATCCTTCAAACCGAAACGCATTACTGCTTCACGGCAGAAATAGGTAGGGCGGTGGTACCTCCTACCCTTGCGGACTCACAAGAGTTCCTACCACCAGTAATATAATTTCATACTTCAGCGCGCCGCGTAGGGCACCGGCGACCTGCACGACAATCAAAGGGCTAATTATGAAAACAATACACGATCTTAATGTAATTCAAGAAAATACTTTCAAATAAAAGAGAACTGTTGGCTTTAATGGTGCAAATCATTAAAATAACCACTAACTATCGTTCTTATTTGTAAAGAATAATAATACAGTCAAGCAGAGTCCGGTCTCGTCACTAAACGTGTAATTACGTTGTTTCATTAAAATCTCTATGTTCGAATTATGTACACGTATACCACCCAAGAAGCGCGCCAGGCGGCCGCGTAGCTGTCACGATGACAGCTCGCCCGCGGGACGTCAACAAACGTCAAATAATTTATGACATGTGTCAATTAATAGTTTTTGTGGTGTAGCAATGAAAGTTGATTAGAGTTGAATAGTTTTGATATTAGTTTTTATTGTTTGATTGCTATGTCCAAGAAGAATGTTCCACAAATTTAACGTGTAGATAGATATCTTTCGAAATAGTTTGATGGATTAAAATTCCATTCATTTCACGTTCCGATTAAGACGGTTGTTGTTATGTTTACCAATAAAACATTATGAATGTTCTTTTTCGACGAAACTGTGTAATAAATTTTAGTATGGAGAAAAAATTAAAATTTTCCATAAAGGTAACCTCCCACTTTGAAGAGTGGATTGCGTTTATATTCATACAAATAAGCCTTCAACCTCATAATCTAGGGTGGTTAAGTCTAGAACAAGAACTAGAGCCAAGAATTTTTCGCTCCCATATAAAAAATATAAATCATAGCATTTGTTTTAAATTTCAATATGAATTGAACTTAAAATAACTGAATGAATATCAGCTCGCAAGAATAAGCGTAACTACCATTGCCTATTTTTATCGCAAAGTAGTAGAGCACATCGGTATCGGTTAGAAGGGGAAAGAAAGGAAAGAAGAAGGGGGGTGGAGGGAAGACTGCTTTATGCGTTACATTTTTGAGGTCCGAAAGTTGCTAAAGTTGCAAATGAGCTCTTAGCTCTTCCGCCAGAAATCATAGCCCACTTTATTTTTATACAGGCCATCGTAGTCACTTTTAGTTTTTCTTCTCAATTTTGAAGTAATTGAAAAAGCATCATTCTAATTCATTTAAATAAACGCAGAATTAGATAAAAAGTATTGTTTATTGAATAAAAGATACGATGATAGAACAAAATAACCGAAATTACAGATCATGGTAACACTATGGTTTTCTTCAATTTCCCATCATCTGGTTACCCGGTATCTTTGTGATCGCTGGATAATTAAGAATAAGATTTTTCTTCAGTCGTTACACAAATGCAACCAGATTTGTCACATTTCAGTTCTTTAGACTGAGCAGGAGTACATGAGCAATCATCGCATACCTTTATATTACCTTTGTCATCGCTACACAGACAAATACAAGGTTTTCCTTCAGTCGGTATACAGAGACATTCCGGTTTATCACATTTGCCATTTTCATCACACTTGCAGTCGTCACAGCGAACGAATTTCCCATCTTTCTTGCAAACGCAAATGCATGACTTTCCTTCAGTCGGTACACAAATGCAACCAGATTTGTCACATTTCAGTTCTTCAGACTGAGCAGGGGTACATGAGCAATCATCGCATACCTTTATATTACCTTTGTCATCGCTACACAGACAAATACAAGGTTTTCCTTCAGTCGGTATACAGAGACATTCCGGTTTATCACATTTGCCATTTTCATCACACTTGCAGTCGTCACAGCGAACGAATTTCCCATCTTTCTTGCAAACGCAAATGCATGACTTTCCTTCAGTCGGTACACAAATGCAACCAGATTTGTCACATTTCAGTTCTTCAGACTGAGCAGGGGTACATGAGCAATCATCGCATACCTTTATATTACCTTTGTCATCGCTATACAGACAAATACAAGGTTTTCCTTCAGTCGATATACAGAGACATTCCGGTTTATCACATTTGCTATTTTCATCACACTTGCAGTCGTCACAGCGAACGAATTTCCCATCTTTCTTGCAAATGCAAATGCATGGCTTTCCTTCAGTCGGTACGCAAATGCAACCAGATTTGTCACATTTCAATTCTTTAGACTGAGCAGGAGTACATGAGCAATCATCGCATACCTTTATATTACCTTTGTCATCGCTACACAGACAAATACAAGGTTTTCCTTCAGTCGGTATACAGAGACATTCCGGTTTATCACATTTGCCATTTTCATCACACTTGCAGTCGTCACAGCGAACGAATTTCCCATCTTTCTTGCAAATGCAAATGCATGGCTTTCCTTCAGTCGGTACACAAATGCAACCAGATTTGTTACATTTCAGTTCTTTAGACTGAGCAGGGGTACATGAGCAATCATTGCATACCTTAATATTACATTGCTTACGTTGATCCTCTTCACTTGTTGAACGCTTACAAATATTCGTTTTGCAGGCCATCTTTTTATTGAACTGAAAATTAAAAAATGTAAAGTTAAAATTCTTAGAATACAATTAAATTCAAGCATAAATTATTTTAATTGCTTCCAACAGACAGATGATGTACTCTTATTGAGATATATCTTGTGATCTTATTTTACTCTAGATCTATCTGAGCTCTCTTGGATATGAACGGTCAAAAGAGCCTATAGACATAATAACATGCCATCGAGCTACAGGCATAAGAAAAATATCTTCATTAATCCCTAGTCGTAAATATAATTGAAACAACTTTTCCAATTTAATCTAATAAACGCAAGATTAAACCGTAAGAGTAGGCTTAATTGCGACATTGATATTAGTATTAAAAAAGTAATTACGTTACTTAAGGTCCTAATACACTTTCACGAATGACTTCCACGATAATGGAATAATATGGCTTAAAAAGATATTATTACGTAGGTACTATATATCAAGGGGTTCAAGAATATTTGTTTTAAGCGAAATTTTTACAACTTTACAAGAGAGCCATTTAAAATATAAAATTTGAAAAAAATATCATAACAAAGAAACTTCTACAGCTATTTGAATGAAATAAACTTAATTGAAAATAAATTAAAAACATCGAACTGTTGATGCTAACACCAAATAAAACTTTCCTTTAATTACAAAGATAAATGTTGGGTGAACAGCCTTTCACTCCTATATATGTAATAAGTGAGTGCCCTCCAGGTCAGTCCAAGAATCTGTCTTGCATCGATTTCAGTTTGAAGAAAAATACAGCGGCTCTCAAACTGAGACTGCGATTTCAAATCACAAACTACCTTTGCCGATAGCCTTGAGAAACTATTTCAGCATCGCCTTAACGTGTAGGTGAGTTCATGGAGCTCAAACCGGAAGTGTTGCTAACACTAGCCTTAGCAAGAGCAGTGCTTCACAAAATCTACCACCGGATCGGAAACGCGACCCACTCAGAATATTCGGCGAGAAACTCAACGGGCAAAGCCCAACACATAAATAATATGACAGTAAGGAAAACAGTAATATTGAAATTAAATACGTTATGAAATGTTGTCAATCATTTTCCGATACGGTGTAATAATTTAGAACGACACTTACCGGTTCGACTTGCAGATTGTTGCGATGCTATTAAAACACAGTTCGACACGACGATAAGTACTAAAACAATTGATAAGTACCGACAGTTTAAATACACGCGACATAACTATCGTGTGCAAAACGCTCGTGCGCAAAGCGATGAGCGCAAACATGATTCATCTGCGCGTACCGTGTGAATACGTTTGTTGTTGTAGTTTATTGATAAGCAACTGATAACTGATAATTTAGCATTCAATCGAATAACTACAAAGATAATTATATCGCATACGTCCTTTTTAACATAGTAAATATTTTACTGATGTTATCTTTCGGTCTATACTGTTGCGTCTAGAATATAATCACCCATTCTTTTTTTTTATGCCTGTGTAGGCAGACGAGCATACGACCCACCTGGTGTTAAGTGATTACTGGAGCCCATAGACATCTATGAGTTCTAAGGTCTCAAGTATAGCTACAACGGCTGCCCCTTCAAACCGAAACGCATTACTGCTTCACGACAGAAATAGGCAGGGTAGTGGTATGTACCCACCCGCGCGACTCACAAGAGGNCACCCATTCTTTTTTTTTATGCCTGTGTAGGCAGACGAGCATACGACCCACCTGGTGTTAAGTGATTACTGGAGCCCATAGACATCTATGAGTTCTAAGGTCTCAAGTATAGCTACAACGGCTGCCCCTTCAAACCGAAACGCATTACTGCTTCACGACAGAAATAGGCAGGGTAGTGGTATGTACCCACCCGCGCGACTCACAAGAGGTCCTACCTACCATCAGTAATTACGCAAATTACAATTTTTGCGGGTTACACGATGTTATTCCTTCAGCGTGGAAGTCAATCGTGAAATGAAAGGTAATTAAATTTTATTCAAATTGAATCAGCGACATACTCGTTGAATGTCAACACATCGAGCAACGATTTCGGAGAGGGCCCTGAGAAAAACCGCCTTTTAGGCATACCAATTTTTTTAAAAGTTTTATTTGACGTCAATGCCTATGTTAGTATGGAAATCATAAAACTAAAAGTCGAAATTATGCTTGAGTCTTGTCATCAATCGCGTTCCAATGTCGTTTAAAATTACAAATGCTAAATTTACTCATTAAATGATAAGTCAATTTAATTGCTTCTTTTCTAAACTATCAAATGCGTCACTTCTAGTTTAAATTGATATTAAAAATTAACGTGCCAATAATGCGGTTTGATTAGCCACGCGTGGGCGATGGACGCGTTATCCTTGAGAATTTCGGATTCAGAACACTGGTCACACCGGTTACGAAGTATTAAGATCTGTAACATTGGATACCTTGTAGAAAAACGTTATTAATTTAAGTCTAAATTAGGCAGGTATTGTCTAAGTTGTATTAATGGTTAGTTTTAATGTATATTTTTAGATTAAAAATATGTAGGTAGGTTATTTTTAGTAACAGGAAACACCATGTTTTGTATTAAGAAAACGTACTGGTGATTGAAAAGGACGGGTAGGTATAATAAACAATAAACAACTGTGAACATAATATGGGCATCTGGCCCCAATTTAGGATTTCTTGTGTTATGAGCACCAGAGACTGACATACATACATACATTGAAATGTATACATATATACACATAAAATAAAGGTATTCTCCTGTTGCACTTTTACTCTTCTTTTCTAAAATCTTCTAATAATTAAAAATTAATTTACACTTTTTTACTGCTTGCTCATTTTAATCGTCCTCGCCATCTTTTTTTTCTGTCCTTCTCTTTTCCATTTCTTACTGTTTTCTCTCACTCACACAATAACGTTCCGCTCCACACTATTTTCATACGTTCCATTCTCATTAATCCTACATAGATAATAAACAGCCAAACAAAGAGCAAGTAAGCCGCAAATCTTTGGGCGATGCAGGAATCGAACCCACGACCCTCAGCGCAACATTCAGGAATGCTAACTACGGACCTAACCCTCGAAGTAGCGGCCTGCGTATTTGTTTGAGAGCAGGTATTCTCATTATAATACTTGTGGTTTTCGATAATAACTTAAAACCAGGTTTCCTTGCTCGTTCTACCAATCAAGAGCGAAAACCAAAAGAGGTATATTGATACTATCTTCAATTACCTATGAAACTAAAAGACGATTTTTGGACTCGGAGCCTTGAGTTAATATAAAATTGATTAATCGCGATCATTAAACGCCCCATTACGTATTACGTACGTGGAAACATTACAAAAAGTCTTGACTTCAATGATAACAACTTTTACTGAAACACTTATTTGTTTAAATGTAAAAAAAAAAAACACAAAAAGTGAACTACAAAAAAAAAGCGTTCGTGAAATAATTCAAGTAAGATTTCTTTCGTAAAACGTTAAACGTATTTCGTAATAATGTCTTTCGTAAAAGTTAATTACGTGATTTACTGTGCAATCGATATCTTTTGAATATTTCCGAGAAGAGCAGTTTCACGTACTGTTTCCAAAGTGATGTGACCACCTCTGTAGATCCTTTGAGACATGAAGGTCGAAGTTTCTATGTTACGTAACTTATTTAAGCGGACTTATTAAATTATTTAAGTTATTTACCTTCCGGATACACCGCCGGAGATTACGCAAACCACGTAACTACACGGGTTCGATTTTTAATACGCAATACTGTTCCTTCATCGTGGAATTCGTTAGAGAATACAATTTGAACCAATCCGGTATAGTCGCACATCAGGCGTCTGTAATTTTCCTACCTATTGTAGTGACCTCGAGAGGTCATACTAGATTTGCCGAGCGAGTAGGTGACCACACGGGGCTCTAATCTGAGGACGTTGCTAACACTAGCCCTAGCAAGAGCAGTGCTTGGCTGAATCTACTACCGGATCGGAAACGCGACCCACTGAGAATATCCGGCGAGAAACTTAGTGGGCTGTGTAAATTCTATCACCTGGAGACATGGATTTTCAATCGCAATTTTTCAAACCGAAACGCATTACTGCTTCACGTCAAAAATAAACAGGGTCATAGTTACCTCCTAAGAAGCCCTACCGCCAGCGATTTTCAAGTCAATAATGTCTTATGGCTAATTAGACTTTATAACGCGATATAATATGGGTCTATGGGCTCCGATAAGCATTTAACACGAGGTGGGCTATGAGCTTGTCCACCAATGTAATAAAAAAAATGGCATTTTCGTTTATATGGTCGTGTATCTGGAAGCATTGCAATGAGAGACTCGGAGCGAGTCCGCTGAATAGCACAGCATTCCAACACACGTATACACAAACTAAAACGCTTTAAGGTGCAAAGAATGCAATTAGACGTCAATTTTCACGTTCTCAACAGCGGTTAGACGTTTGATATTCCTAGAAATAAATTCACTGAGCATCCAGGAAGATGAGCGATTAAGTCAGCTGCAAACTATGATGTTTATCAACAAACAGGAGTGGGATCCGGCGCGTTTTGTAAAATGGCCAATATAGAAATTTAGACGCAACAGAGGCATTAAAAAAATTACACTTTTTTAATCTACTATAATTTGTACTATTTGGATATTTACTAGATTAAAAAAGTTCTTCGCTGATAAGGGCACTTAGCAAGAGGAAATGATGGAATCGTATGTCGTAGAGGTGCCGGAAGACCTATGGCACGATGGACCGATGACATGGTCAGGACGCGGGGAGGACGTGGATAAGAATGGCGGACGCTCCAATACTATTATATAAAAAGGAGAAGCTTATGCCCAGCAGTGGGTATCAATGGGCTGAAAATGATTATAATAATAACTGTAGCTCCAATATTGTAGTCTAGGAGCAGAATGAATAGGAGCAGAAAAAATGAATTACTAGAACCACTATATTATAAAACTACTAATTTACGCATGAAAAAATAAACCAAGAAGACTTATCACACTTTATATACATACCTAAATACCTATGATACGTGCATCTTTTTGGATATACTAATCAGATATTTACTGTAAAACGACTTATCACTAGTATAAAACAAAGTCGCTTTCTCTGTCTCTATATCCCATATGTCCTATATATATGCTTAAATCTTTAAAACTACGCAACGGATTTTGATGCGGTTTTTTTTAATAGATAGAGTGATTGAAGAGGAAGGTTTATATGTATAATAACAACCATTAAATAGTGGAGAAATCAATAATAAATTACAGTTTCCGAAGCGAAGCGAGAACGGGTCGGTAGTTATTAATAAATTCATATCGACGCTTGAAAGGCAAACGTGACTAAGCGACAATAACTGCTTTGTATATAAATGATAGTCAATAACCATATTCGATGTGCAAAAAAGATATATTTCTAGGTCTATCAAAATCATTTCAATCCTACAGCTACTAGCTAGATTCTACTACAGCTAGATTCGTTAAAATATTTTTTTTTAGGTATTTCAACTTTAAATTAGTCTACTGTAAAGTTCACGCATTGTCGCTTAGTCACGTTTGCCTTTCAATCGTCGATATGCTTTTTTTTTAAACGACTTCTTTTATTTTATTATCTGGTGCATAGATATACTAATCACAATAAAACAGAAACAATCTGTAAATTCTTAGTAAGATTTTGCTCAATAGTAAAGCACTCAACAATTTTATTTATTCTATTACAAAACTACCTTGCTCTAAAATATAAAAAAAAAAACATTCCAATCATTATGACAAATAATAATAATCTTAAGCAATGAATGAAATGTATCCAATTCTTAGCTGTATATTTTATTTTTATTTTTGATGTTAATGCAATGTCGATTGCACCTATAATTGAGGTGACATCGGCCATGAACTTTTGTCAATTTGTCAATGTTTTGTATTGATGATCACTTTGTTGGTGCAACTTATTAAATAAATAAATAAATAAATAAATAAGCGTAAGAAAGAAAATCAACAAATAACAACAGAAAACAAGCCGTAACAACAAATATTTAGTCGGACCTCGGCCTCATTATGAGACCTTCTTACGCCCGTCTTCGGATGACGCGAACTCATTCATGGCTAACACTGACGTTACATACACAAGCAGAGGAATATACATTTCAACAAGAGAACAATTTATTTATGCTATCCATAACTG